TTGGGGTTTTTTTCCAAGTGTTTCCGATTTTGGTTTTATGTGGTTTTTTGAAGTCCCTTGGGTCCAAATGATAGGAAATGAGTAGAATTGGGCAATTCTGAGGAATTTCCATGCCGGCCGTTTTAGCCATTTTGGCTAATTTCAGAAAAATGCTAATTATTCCCAAACTAAGGCAGATATTTGAGTTCCGTTTTTTCTGACATGTGGAGAGGGCCAATGCGGATATTCCCTGTGAATTTCAGCTTGATAGCTTGCATACTTTGAAAGTTATAGCGTTTTTTCGATTTTGGCCAAATTTGCCTTGGTCCCCCAGGCTGAGCTTTTTGGGGTTTTTTTCCAAGTGTTTCCGATTTTGGTTTTATGTGGTTTTTTGAAGTCCCTTGGGTCCAAATGATAGGAAATGAGTAGAATTGGGCAATTCTGAGGAATTTCCATGCCGGCCGTTTTAGCCATTTTGGCTAATTTCAGAAAAATGCTAATTATTCCCAAACTAAGGCAGATATTTGAGTTCCGTTTTTTCTGACATGTGGAGAGGGTCAATGCCGATATTCCCTGTGAATTTCAGCTTGATAGCTTGCATACTTTTAAAGCTTTTTGAGGTTTTTTCGAAGTGTTGGGGATAAGACCAAAACTTTGACAGGCTGCCCCTCGAAGACTATCAGAGATATCAAGCTGAAATTTGGACTGAAGGTCCACACCTATCTGAAGTTGTTGTGTTCCAAATTTATTTATTTTTTTTATTTTTTTTTTTTAAGTCCAATCTAGGTCGGAACATGTATAATCTTCCATAGACTTTACATTGGAATACGTCATCAGGCCCGGTCAGCTGATTAAAATTTATATTCACTTCTTAAGCGCTTATTTGACTTAGTACTTACCGTCTACGAATTTGACTCGTTTCGTTATTGATTTATTTTTTCGGTGTAATCTAATTTTGATTAAATTGAGCTTTGCACACACCGCATATTTTTTCCAGTTTAAAGGGACATTATACTTTTTTCCTATTTTTTGTAAAAAGTTTTCATTATCAAAAAACGTCCTGATTATACCTGAACATATTTCTAAAGTATTCTATTTATATCTATATATCTTCTTGTTCAAACTGAATTTGTTTTACGTAGGAGACATACTTCTCTACAATTAGGCGTTCAAATCCGTACAGTAGTTTTATTACAGCTTACAAAACGCATAACGAATTTAAAAACCTTACGTAATTTATTTAATATATTTGGTGTTTAAAAACTATAACGGCTGGATTTTTTAAACTTTCTGATACGTTAAAGGGCAAATTTCTCTAGATTTTGATGTATGGTTTTCACAAAATTTTGTCCACCTACGAAAGGAAAATGTCCTTTAAATATCTGAATTCAGTTAACCTTGTTCACACCGTTGCCAGGAAATGGATGAAGATAAAAATATATTTTAGGTAGGTCATATGCACTTTCGTGACCTAAATCGCTAAGGTCATTACAAAATTAAGTATAACCAGATTGGCATCTTCAAATGAGATGAATATAAATATTAAACATTGTAATAACTTTGTTGTGAAGGAATGTTAAAGAGGCACTAAAAAAATATCCTAAATCTATTTCAGGTAGCTTTACAAACGAATAAAATGTATTTTCAAAGCGTCTTACATGGAATTCTATCGTGCTTCTAAGGAACACGTTTCTCTAGATTTTGGTGTGTAGTTTTCCTAAATTTGAACAAAAAAGATTTTCGATTAGTATATTTCAGACAATCTCTGATGAATTTACAAATGAATTTGCCACAATAAAACATTGTAGTAGTGTGTTGTGCAATAACTTATCGGTCTAATAGTAAATGAAAGATAAAGCTATCTGTGAGCAAATAAAAAAAATTTTGATTTTCGTCGATGTTTTTTAAGAGAATTCGAATATCCGCGTTTACATTGAAAAGAAGCATTTCTCTCCTAGAGATTTCAACCAAAAAAATTCACAAATTTTGACTGAAAAATGTCCTATATAAAAACAAATTTTAAAGTCATAATGTGTGCTCATATCTGTGTTTTTATCAACGCAAAGATATTCTGAGATTATCAGTACTATTTTGATTCCAAATCTCATAAAAACTAATGAGAAAAAATCAATAAACGTTTTACTTTGCTCAGACAATAATTATATTTTACTCTCATCAAAAGGTAGGCCTATTCATTCAGATAATTTTGTTTTAATAATAAACTGACCCTTAAAAATTGTTACTCTTAACTAACAATACACAAGGCCATGGTTCGTCATTTTCGGAGGTTGATTTGGGTCTTGATTATAATATGTCAATAAGCTTCAGAAGTACTATAGAACGAAAATCGCTAAATCCCATGAAATATAATTCAAAACTAGAACTTTTAACTATTTTTATGTATTTTCTTTATAAGGCGAGTCTCAAGAAAAGAGGACTCGTCATTAACTTTCAAATACGGATAATTATGGACACATAGATTTGACGGCTCTAATTTCGACGGTGAGATGTGAACACTCATTACTGATTAGCTTAGCTCAATTCCCATTTCTGAGACTAAGGTATGAATCACCAGGATTTCATTTGCTTAGTCCATTTGTATCGACTATAGTAGCAAGTATGTGGTCAAAGGGGGATAATTTGACATTAACGTGGTCTGATAGCAATTTTCAGTTTGGACTAGTTGAACACAATATAATGTTAACTATTATAATAAGAAATTTAGAACTTCTGCGTTTTAGACCATAGGGAGTAAGTAACATGAATGGAGCAGGCAACAGTGATTCTGTTATTTCGCGATTGTGTTTTAGTTCAGTTTTTGCGTTTCAATCCAAAATAATATATGGATATTTGAAGTTTGGTTCTTTAGGCTGGTAGTTTACAACATGAAAATAAAAGGTGTAGGGGTTTAGAATTTTGGAATGTGAAAAGTAATATATTGTTCATGAAACAAGAACATTTTATAGTCTGAGTTTTTAAATTTTTTTTCCAATATTTTTTATGAGAATTAGAATAGAAGCCCTGATAACCTAAGGATGTCTTTGCGATAACAAAAAATATAAGCATGAGCACACATTATGTCTTCAAAATTTGTGTTTACAGAGGACAATTTTCAGTGTGTAGTCAAAGAAAGATAATTTTACCTGTAATGTACTCTTTGGTCAATGAAACCTAATTTCTATTCAAAGTTTTCAACCATATGTGACTTTTAGGTTAAAATTTCTTGGAGAAAAATGATTCCGTAATATCATTGTAGAATTTTCTATTTCAACAAGAAGTCGATTATCATGACGATGAGTGAGTAACTCATTATTAACTTCAGGCTTTTAACTGGTACAAAATTTGTAAACAAGATCAAATAGTTACTGAGAATTGTAGATCGTCTTGACTGCATGAATAATGGCAACAATGTGTATTGATTTTAAAGAAAAATGGATATAGCACGAATGAGGTTTTAAACTATGGAATAAGAACAATAAAAGGGAAATTGATAACTTACTTTGTGTTTATAATGAATGACTTTGTGTTGATGTTTATGATGAGTTATTTTGTGTTGATGTTTATAACTTCCTTCTCACGTGATATTTGTTCTTAGCACGAGCTACATCATAGGATCGCATGCAACAATCAAAACTAAGAAATTATTTCACTGAAAGTTCATCTTAGGGGATTTTGTGTCTTAATATTTGTTGTAAATGAAATCTTCCGCTCCTGAAGACGTGCAACACCATGCAATGTGCAAGGAGGTAAATCTGGTTAGGAGACAATGCATGCAGTATGATGCATTTTTTGATATATCCATCTGTGATATATCCATCTGTGACGCATCTTCACAGTGACAAGTTATTACATACTTCGTATACTTTGACTGCAATAGTCAATGTTCTTGTCCCAGAAGGCAGTAATTCGATTTGATTGTACACCAGCGAATACAACCAATCGTAGACAGATAGATAGAAAGGCAAACATTATGGCTTTGTGTTCACATACTTTCTTTCGAGGCCTCTGATTGTATGTGCTAATGTACGATTCAATAGCTTCATTTACAAATTCCATAGAATGGTGACTACTGCAGTCACGGTAAAAGTACAAAGTTCGTAATAGCATAGCTTGATGTGACCAGGACGTTACATTGACATTGGACAGTCTGTATCTTTTTCTGTATTTTCGCATCCGAACCAGTTTTTAATGACAGCCCCTCCGATCTATATCAGTGACAGAGTTTAACTTTTGATAATAGAAAGAGTACTACATGTTCTATCTATCTGTATCTCATTTCAGAACACAAAGCCTTAATATTTACATCATTTCTGTCAAGGGCGCTCAATCACTGCAATCCGTGACACAAGAATAGTGGCTATTGCAGTCAAGGTATAAGTACGACATTTCGTATTAGCTTAACATTGTAAAGATGTCCGAAACACGTGCCTCGATTCCAGCTCCTGGTAAATATTTATACAGTTACTGGCTGTAGTAGTAAAAAAAACTAGATCATATTCTATGGGATTTTTTCCGCACAACGCACAGAGTTTCTAATTGCCAGAGTTTCTAATTGCCAACGAGAGAGATAAATAGGTTTTTAAAACTGCACCATCGAAGGGTGCGGAAAAACACCACAAAACAGCCTCGTTTTTTTGTCTCTTCACCAGCCGACAACTTTCAAAAATAGCTAACAGCGGTTGGGATAGAGGAAGATGTCTCTCGATCTATGTGAAGATGGTGTTTCCTCAATTCCAGTCTTGGACCAGTTTATAGCCAATTTCGAAATCAAGAGGCCTACAATCTTACTAAAGTTCAATTTCAATTAAGTTTCTTATTTGTTTTCTGATATTTTCGTTTGAATTTTAATCTAACAAGTTTTCTTGACAACATAAAACAAAAATTTGTTATGTTTATCAAGAAATGGGTCACACATGGATTGCTTGATTGGTTTAAAATACTGCCAGTAGAACTGGACTGTGGATGGAAGCTTGTTAGATTACAATGGAGACAAAAAGATATCAGAAATTTAAAAAAAAAAATGAAATTGTTATATAATTTTAATTAGATTGACAGGCTCACCATTGTTCAAAACTCCATGAAAGAAGTTGTCAATAACAAATGAAATAATTTAAATGGTTTTATAGATACACATTTCTTCAATACAAAGCAATATTTTATCAAATTTTACAATAATTGTTGACAAAAAATGGGACCAAGCCATCTGGCTAACTTTTTATTACTAATTTGATATATATATATGCAGTTATTCTTCACAATATTGGTCTAAATATATACTGCTCTAAAAACATAAAATTACATAAATAACACTCAACAATACCTAATAAATATGTTAATTTCCCCCTAGTTGAAAGGTAGCTGAATTTCTTGCAATAAAACAAAGCCCATTAAATTTGCCGGTCATGTTGGACTAAAGGTTCTAAATTTGGTTCTGATATGCAATACATCCCACCAGTTTCTGTTAAATTAATAAAAGCTTCATAATTCACTAACATTTTTAATCACAAAATTTTTTTTATGCCTTACTTGTTACTTGTAGTTCATATAAAACTATACAAAACCACATAAATTTGTTAGTATACAAAATTAATGATATTTTTCTATTATGCACTAAAACTAATCCAAGGGAAGCAACCATGTTAATAACAGACAAACATAATATAATATTGAATGAAAACCCTGTATTTAGTAGACTAGAATAGGACAGGACAAAATTGTCTTAAAATCAATTCATTTAGGACAATAATCTAAAAATGAATCTACTTCACATTGTTACATGAACAGTTTTGAAAAGAACAATGAATGAATGTATAGCACATACATAGTACATAGATCATTCTTGCAGTTAGTCCTTGAATAAAATTTGTCCCTTGAGTCTTGGCCCAATTCCACAAAAAATCTTATTTTGTCGTAAGTATTGTATTTCTTAATGCAAAAATCTACACTTATCACAAATTCTGATGTTAAGATATTTTGTTTTTCGATTTTTTGGAGTTTGGGTTCACAAAAGGTGGCCTACATATTGTTTGGTTATTGGTTAACAATATGTATTCAAATTTTGTGAGTTTTGTTTATTTTTACAAAAATAACCAATATATTTTTCTACAATAACTCTTTTAAAACTAGTCACTGCTTTACAGGCATATACTTATAGATTTTAGCGCTTGGAGATCATTGCATATTCATAGGGTCAAACACATATTACTTTGTTAACATAGCATTGAGGATTTGCATCAACTTAACGGTATTTTATGCAGTCTGTTGTGGACCCAATATAAAGACCCTAATTTTATTTACATGGTTTTAGTATTATACATATATATATTATTACTTGGCACCAGTTTGGTTTTGTATTAAGAAAATAAACACTAAACAAATCGTATTCAAAATAGACTTAAACATAGAAAAAAAACATTTTTTTTTCATTTTTTTCTAACCATTTTTTGAATTTTTTTTCTAACCAGAATAATTTTGGAAGAGGTTTATATATGCAGACGTCTAAAATTATATATAAAATACAGAGCAAACATAACAATAATTTTAGTTTTGATAAAGATATAAAATAATATAAAGAATCAACTAATAACAGTAATCAACAATAAATAAACAAGAGTATTAAAAATAAGAAATACAAAAGAATTTACAATTTGTATTTTGTAATATACACTGCTTGCCTTTAGTTTAATTTATCTGTTTTAAGGCTTTTGAAAAAGATCTGAATTCATATTTCAAAGATCTTGGGTCTATTAAGTATTTTATGTCACAAAAATCATGCTTATTTTGATGTATAATTTGGTGCTTATCATTGCATGAGACGCTATCCAAATTCTGCTATTTTATTTTCATCTTATACAAAATTTGATGTAATAAACATTGTGATAGATATAGACAAGTTGGTCAGAAACAAACAGTAATGATGGTATAAATATGTTATAAATATTAATACACATCCAAGAACCCAAGTCAATATAGACCAAGGTAGGGACAATCTTAAAGACTTCTCACACGATATAATAATGAAAACTAAAAAATAACATAAAATGTGTTTGACATGAAACTAATTTCCACATTACATTCCTCGTTTTGATGGAGGTATTAAATGCTCAGGTAGTTCAGATGGTAAATCATGACCTTCTAATTTGATCTTAATGAGATGATTAGCTAAGGCCCATTCATCTTGATCTAACATACCATCTTTATCAACATCAGAAAGTTTCCAAACTTTACTTAATACTGAATTGGGTAGTTTGGATTTCACAAGTTCTGATTTAGCAGCAGCTCCGCTAATTTTTCCATCCACAGGATTTAATTGATCAAACCTAGTATTGAATTCGGGTTGTTCTTGAGCAACAATCCATTCATGTTCCCCGCGTCCTGCATCAATGCCTTCCCCTTTACCAATACCAAAGGGACTTTCATTGTAACCTTCAAAAGCACCTCCATGGACGACATTAATATCAGTTTGGTTGGCCTCTTCTTGTGGTATTTGTTGCATCAATCGAGCTATTTCTGTTGCCAACATTTGATCCACATTATCTAATAACTTAGGTTTTAATGGTTGAAATTTGGTGAAGTCATGAAACTGTAATTGTTCCTGAAATGATAAGTGATTATTGTATTATTACACAATACTAACCCACACAATGTTAAATGAGAATTTGCAATAGAAACTCGACTTCACAAAAAGAAATGAATAGAAAACTTGAACAACGAAACATTTCCTAATTTTGTGAGGGAAAGATCATAATTTCAGACTTCTAGACGTCCAGGTCAGGTCATTACAATCCAATTCTTTTATGCACATCTGAAATTTACAGATGACAATATGCTTTCACAGTGCTATTAACAGAAGAATTTAGACTATTGGTTCCTCTCTATCTGTTTCTTTTTTATCCAATTTTATTTTTGAGAGCTGGAATTGATCTTCATCAGGTGGGTAAGTGAACATTTTAATTAAAAGTATATCTGTCTTTTGTCATTTTGCCTTCTTATTTCAATTGATCTTGTATTGAACAAGATGAATGGGAGCTGTGTTAAAGTTAATTTTTGATATCCTATTATTGTGAGAAAAAATATTTTCTAGAAAGATAGTTTGCCAATCAAAACAGCCTACACCTTGATTTAGACTTTGATAAATAAACATCTTTAACTATCAATAATGATCTACTAGTTGATTTACAACAGGACTTTTTCTTTTTTAGGGGGTTTTCTTTATCAAATACAGATCTTGATGCCTGTTTTTCTCTTTGGGTTACTATAGTTGAAAACCAAATGGCTTTCATAAGCCCATTGTCTCATAAATTACCACTATAAATTCTGTCAACTGGCTATGTTTAACAATGTGTTGCCACAATTCCTTTAATGAATTTTAGTTGCCTTGAAATTGTGGAGCATAATTTTCTTAATTAGATCAAGGATGGCAAATGAAGAACAACCCAAACCATCACCAGATCTGCATTGCTTCGAGATTGTGATTAAGTATTATAAATATAACAGCTCTTCCCTACCAATAATAAGTGACAGAACCAGCTGGTATCTCAATCTTACCTACTTTCATCTAAAATTTACTGCATTTCTAATGATTGAAAAATCTACTATGGAATTGCAGAGAAAATAATTCTTAAAAGAAAATTCATATTAGATATAATATAGGTATTATTAAAAGTTTGTATTTACCTGCATGCGTTTTAAATTAGGGAAATCGCCAGGTGAAATTTGATGTTCCCTTTGTAACAGAGCATAGGTGTCTTGTAATTTATTGATCAATTCTTTCTTCTTGGAATCTTTACCAAAAACAGAAGGCATTTCTTTCTTTAGATGACTGATAATATAGGCATGAACCTGAAATTATAAAAGAATAATACATGTAAGTTTCAGAGTAGGCTAGTGCCTTTGTACCTTTGGTTCTGGAACTCATCATGGAGTTTCAGCAAGGAGCTACTTTACTGTCATATACAACCAAAAGATCAAAGAAACTGTTTCTGGAAAAGGTTTTTGGAGACTTCATTGGAAATATAAGCTTTGAATATATCAATGTATCACAAGCTCATTCAAATAACCTAATTAGCTATTTTCAAGGACAATTTACTCTAGTGTAAATCTTAACCTTGTAAATAAAATAATATCAAATAAATCATGATGGATAGGAATTTAATGGATCATAATTTTCTACTTAACTACTCACAAAAGCATTGGATGAGGATTAAAAATATCTTTTGGCATGAAAGTAATTCACACCGAGATGAATCGCCCAATGACACTAAAATATCACTACTATAAGTAATCGATCATTGGATATTTCACCAAATATACAAAACTGTAGAATGAAACAGGCAGAATATTCATAATCAATGCATTAAAGGGAATGTAAGTAGTTTTTCTAAATTTTTCATGTGTATCATGGACACTGATAACATCAATTTGCACATTCCAATTTTAGATCGGACATCTGTGGTTCCTGTAAAACACTCATATTTCACATTTAATGATGGCATCAAACATTCAGTATCAGTGGAATTGCAAGAACCAGATGTCTGATTGAAAATTGGAATGGTGTAAATTGATGCTATGAGTGACCCTGATACACATAGAAATTGAATAAAACCTCTTTACAATCCCTTTAAGCAATTGACTGGAATCTTTTTCCCAATAACTCCTACAAGAAATTAGAGAAATTGAAACTCATAGTGGTATGTATTATAGAGAATAAGGTCACATAAATCAGCGTCAAGTCATGCAATTTGATGCAGTATACAATATGGTGAACATGTGATATCAAGAATTAAAGTAAATATCAATGAAGAATGCAGTTTATATGTGAACCACGCCCTGAACTTGGAATTTGTGAATTTGGCAACATCTGTACCTAGCTAAATATAAATCTCTGTTAAATGATATGATGTTAGAAATGTAATTTCTGTGTCATCTGTAAAAACTATCTAAGAATTCCACTATATCAGGGGAAAATATTCCTGGCAATCTGACAACTGGCCTATCTATTGATGATCTATATACACTGACATTTAAAGAACATGTATCTAAGTCTCTATACCGTAACATATCAAAAATACTAGCTACTAATGAAAATAAACCATTCCCTTGCTATTGACCATGTAATTTGAACTTTGGACTACAGGACCAATACCTTACACTTTGTCGATCAAAATAATAACTAATAATAAAGAGACAGGTTTGCCATTTTCAGGGGTTGATTTGGGTCTTGAATAAATGTAGATAGTCTTCAGAACTACTAGAAATGTATATAATCGCATAATCCCTCAAAAATACCTCAAACTGGGAATTTAAGTTCCTATATCTATAAGCTTTCATAAAATGTCTTTTCTATATGGCAGAGTCTTGAGAAGAGACGAGTCATCATTTTAACTTAAATGCAGATAATCATGGACACACAAGGATTTATAAGCTCAAATTTCGATAGTGAGTTGTGAACACTATGATGGAATATCTTAGTTAAAACAAAAATTCCTCCTTTGAACTTATCCCTTTAAATGGACATTGACTATGTTTTTGCTTTACCATTAATTCTATTTAATCTGCAGCAAAACTAAATTCCTAGTACATTCTAATCCCACGCATTGCAACAAAAAACACACCATGCACGTCATCGCCCCCAGAATGTTAACCAACATTGTTCCATGCAGATGTCACCAATGATGTTGCTTTATAAAATTTTTAAACTGCTATGCCATTTTTCTTATTCATTTGGCAAAAGAATTCATAAACAATGTACTGAAGTAAACTTGCTGACACAAGTAATTACCAGTACATGAAATTATTACAGATTTTTTCACAGTTATAAAATAATTGTATGTTAATTGACTGATAATTTTAATTACTCCTTAATAATTAAGAACTAGGTTACCGGTATATTAAATTCATATGTATATATTACTGTATGATTTAGGAATGGCCCACACACAATTATGTCATTTTAGTTACCTATTTGAATGAAGGGATAACTTTTTAATCGTATTTACAATTATCAGATAAGCTTACATATATGATGGTAATAAAATTTAACTGAATATCATATACAACTCAACTGCATAAGCAAATTAAACACTATTGTAATTGACAACATAAAGCATGACATTCCATTCTCTGACTATAGACCTGGAATTATCATCTGATCATTTTTAAAACTAGAAATTAAGATTATCTGACAACATAGACCAGATTGTCAGATTATCTGTTTACATTCAACAGAAATGGTAATTATGATACTTTGTAGACCTTGATGAGTCAATTTTCCGTCAACATAGACAAGGTGTTATAATTTGATTGTAAAAACTATAAATTAAGACTATCTGATAACATGGACACGGATATAAGATTATCTGTTTACATCCACTAGATATGACTCCATAGGCCTTGATATCAGAGATTTTCTGACAACATAGAGCAGGAATTAAGATCATCTGACTCTACAGACCAGGAATTAAGATCATCTGACAACATAGACCAAGAATTAGGATCATCTGACTATATAGACCAGGAATTAAGATCAACTGACAACATAGACCAAGAATTAGGATCATCTGACTATACAGACCAGGAATTTAGATCATCTGACAACATAGACTAATAAATAGGATCATCTGATAATACAGGCCAGGAATTAAGATCATCTGACAACATAGACCAATAATTAGGATCATTTGACTATACAGACCAGGAATTAAGATCATCTGACAACACAAACCAAGAATTAGGATCATCTGACAATATAGACCAATAATTAGGATCATCTGACTATACAGACCAGGAATTTAGATCATCTGACTACACAGACCAGGAATTTAGATCATCTGACTATACAAACCAGGAATTTAGATCATCTGACAACATAGACCAATAAATAGGATCATCTGATAATACAGGCCAGGAATTAAGATCATCTGACAACATAGACCAATAAATAGGATCATCTGACTATACAGACCAGGAATTAAGAACATCTGACAACATAGACCAATAATTAGGATCATCTGACTATACAGAGACCAGGGATTAAGATAATCTGACAAAATTGACCAGGAATGAAGATTATTTTACCAGGATCCAAGATTATCTGTTAACATAAACTAGAATGCTGATTAAGCTTATATTACTTGGAAGACCTTGAAATCAAGATTATCTGACAATATAGACCAGGATATGATAATCTGACAACACTGACATAGATTTTTCAGATTATCTTTAAAACATGAGAGGCCAATTTGGAAATACCTTGTTATTTTGTAATATCCCACTATACTGAGTATGGCCTACTTCTATCTAATATGAAATTAGTCTCACTCACTCTGACTGGATGAAATATATTTATCAGAGCCAAGATAAGATTTGAGATGTACCTATTAATACTCTTAGCAGTTTATAGATTTCCTACAATATTGAAAATATCATCACCATAGATAAGCTTTCTGATGAAGTTCGAAACCCTCAGCTTGAAAAAACTTGAATATGGCTAATAATAATGTTCAAGTAGTGAAGGAATGCTTTATTATTGATTATTGATTCTTTTTTTCATTGACATCAATTGACACAACGGTTGTCAACTTCCATTCATTTTTTTTTTAAAATTCTGTTTGATAAAAAATTAAAACATAAATCATCAATCAATTTTTTGAGTGTTGTTATAAATTTTTCCAAAACTCCTATTCATATCTTGTTTTAAAGAACATTATCAGTCAAAAAAATCTCTAGTCATTCTAAACTTCTAAAACTTTCCAATATATGAGAAGTCTCGAACCCAATATTGGGTGTAACCTCATTCAATATATAATATACTTGAAAAGTAGACACACACATGATTGAATTATGTCTTTTACCTTAGAGCTGATCATATATAAATAAGTTTCCATCTTTAAAAGGGTTAATTTTCAATCAATTACTAGACCTAGTAAATTGCTACTTCACAACCAGAAAATTCTGAAAAATGGCCATACACTGTTTGTCTTTTGAAATTTAATCAAATACACCTTGATTGGCCAAGGAGATTGGCCAACAGAGTTCTAACCTTCATTTTGCAAAATAAATACAATACAAAATGAAATTAGTCAAAAACTTTTGGACACTGAACCATTAAAAATTTGCAAATAAGAGGTATTTGTTGGCATCTTTTTAAGGTTTCAAATGGGTGGTGCCAAACTCTTTCCAAAAATAATCTGCATTCAAGTAACACATTAAGAACAAATGCCAGAATTCAAATATCAAGAATCAATAGAACAATGAAATTCCTTCTTACAATATCTGATACACGTCTGCAACAAAACAAGTCAGCTGACCTTATCGTCTGCTTATTTACATACTGACAGAATACAACATTTCTAAAAGATGATAGGTTGACATTCTCAGTTTTCAATATAAATTGGTTGTTCTCCAAGAAATACAAGATTAAGGTGGAACTGTGAAGATCTGAATACGTTTTCTCTATGATTTCCATGATACAGTCATACATGTTTGAAATTCTGTATCCAACGAAGGACGAAGGAAATGTTGTACCTATATAAATTTCCTTTGCTCTTGAAGACCAATTTTTGGACCAAAAATCTTGGAATTGAGTGAAATGGCTTTACATGCAAGGTCATCAAATTTGCTCATCAAACCACACATTATTGACCTTAGAAATACACTAATTTTAATTAAGCTTATGATCTAAGAGCTTAAAAAGTACAATAAGCTTCAGTTTTAGACAAAATTGAGTGAATACATCTCTTCAAAATAGTGTTAAGAGTGAAGAAGTTCCTAAAAACTTCTATGTAAAGCACTGGCCAAGGTCACAAATAAAGAGATAAATGTTCAATACAAGATAAGGTGAA